GAGTAGAAAATGAAGGCTAATCATGTTTTGGGTGTACTATTCCTTTAATCTGATTAATTGTTTCAGGTCTGCATGAATCCTTTCATTTTCTGAAAAGATCTTGACAGAAGAGAAACCTGAAAGCTGTCAATGATGGATAAGATCAGTCAGCCTTAGATTGGTTGATTGATCAGTAACTGCTGCCTTCAGAACAGGTAGAGTCTGTAACATGAAAGCGTTCCTCTGATGGAGGAAACCTTTGGAGCGCCGCCTGTGTGAAGCAGTGTGGGGTTAAGGGTCTTGCTCAGGGAAGCCAGTTTTGTGATTTTATTTAGATTTTTCTTTGCATTAACCAAAATCATGTAAATGTTTCAGTTTTTAATGACCTTGCTTCTCCAGAGTCCTTTGTTGCAGAACTTTACTGTTTCATCAAGAAATGATTAATTCTGCATGCATGAAGTTGCATCCTAGCTGCATCTCTCTTCCCGTCTGTGTGGTTTAGAACCAACTTTAAGCATATTACCGCCAGCTAAAGGGCTGGAGGGATCATTTTAGCTACTTATTCTTTTTAAATGTAATATGACCAAACATAATGGCCGCTATTTGAAAATTGCAGAGAAATGATTCAACTGCGATGATTCTGCAGATCCTCCTGGCCCTAAGCTGCACTGGCTTTGTTTCTGATGCAGCATCATGAAACCATCCTGCTGTGGCGACCTCTGACGCCTCTGCCTCTATAAAACGCCGCGCTGTTGTTGTAAAAACGTATCTGAATAAAGTGGAAGGTCAGTTGGCAGCCTGGGGGGTTGGGGGTAGTGTAAATGTGCAATGGAGACACCTGGGAAGCTTAAATCATAGCAGCTACAGTCAAATCTCACCAGCAGTACGACTTAGATTGGTCCCCATGGCGACAAGCATCAGGGGCCCCTGGCTGGGGCCCTAAGTATAACCTGTCTGACTTCCCTCTGACCTCCAGGACCTCCGCCTTGCTAGCATCCATCCATTTTTCTCTTAGGCTTTAACTTCCTTTTAATCCGAGCATTTTTCTTTAACTGCTTAGATTAAAAAGTCTGTTTGTTTTGATCTGAACGTCTTTACTGTTGTAGCTCCGCCCCTTTTTCCTCAACGGTTCTGCCGCGTTGTTTAACAGTGCTTTGCTTCTGCTTTCAGCTGTGTTGGGGTGGATGAAGACGACGCTCCGGACATCGATATCTACCATTGCCCCAACTGCGAGAAGACCCATGGCAAATCTACCTGTGAGTGACGGCGGTCCGGTTCAGCCGCCGTTTCAGCTGAATCCAAAGCTGCGTGGTTTGAATACCAACCGCTGTCCTTTCTTAGCTTGTTAACGACTGTTTCTGACTCTTTCAGTGAAAAAGAAAAAGAACTGGAGCAAATATGACACCGGGCAAAGCGCAGACATCCGAGCGGTTCAGAACGGCAGCCAGGTTTTCATCAAGGAGCTGCGGAGCCGGACCTTCCCCAGGTACAGTCGCCTTCATCCCTCTGAGCTCCGGTCAGGCAGGGGAGTACTTGAACCGGCAACCTCAGACTCAGGACAATCCTCCTCATGACTGAGACCCTCATTGGTGCTTCAGAGTCCTCCTCCGGAAGTCCTTAAACTCAAGGATTTCAGGAGACAGACCTTCTGTGAACATCTAAAGCTCAGTCAGCCTGGATGCAGGATGTCGTTCAGTGTCCATCTGGACTTGGACTAGGCCATTCTGATTCCTTCTGTGTTCTTGATTTAACCCATCTGCTAGAAGGTCTCTAATCTTCTAGAAACTCTAACGTGTTCTTCTCCTCCAGGATTGTCCTGAATTTAACCCTGTCCACTGCTCTTAACAGTGCTGGTTCTTCTCTACAGAACCTCTGAGTCTGGAACCAGTAGCGTTGGGTTTCGATTGAGGAACAGAACACAGAGCAGGACTCTGGGTACTGATGAGGAGATTGACGGCAGCTTGTTCTGGAGATTTCGGTTCAGTTTATTTATGTAGCTCCAATTCACATCATGTCATCTCAAGTCACTTTATAGATCCAGATTAACCAGATCATCAAGCTAGCTCCACAGGAGGCTCTGTGTGTGAAAGAAACAGTTCATCGGACAAGTTTTCCTGTCAACAGAAACAGGAATAAGGACAGTACATCCAGTCAGAGAAACAGGACTACACTGAAAAACAGGCCGATCTCCAACATCTAGAAACAAAGGTGTTGATGGCAGCAGCACAGCTGATATTTCTCTCCAGGATGGAGTCACAGCCAAACAGGAACAGACCAGATGAAGCTACTATGAGAAAAAGCAGAGAGAGCAGAACGTTAGAGATTGAACTAACAGATTCTGCAGAGTTGGAGAATAGAGATAGAATGAAGCAGAATGATGAAAAAGGGGTCCCTATGTCCTCCAGCAGTCTAAGCCTATAGCAGCAGAACTATAGAGATAGATCAGGATAACCTGAGCCACTCTAACTAGAAGCTTTATCAAAAAGGAAAGTTTTAAGCCTAGCCTTGAAAGTAGACAGGGTGTCTGAGAAGAAGATCCTAGATCTAGATGTTTAGACCATCTGCCTTTTCCACCATCCTCACCAGCAGCTATCACATCGAATCCCAGTAAACTCCCTGCAGGTCTGTGTTTTTGTAACTGGGCCAATCCTGGACCAGCTGAAGGGGTGTGAATATTTAGGCCTATGAATGAGAAGGTGTGGAAGCATCAGGTACTTCCACTCGGTGGCGCTATTTTCTACCTTTGAGGCTGATGGACACTCTCTGCTCCTTCTTTCCACTTAGTGCCGACGACATCGTGGTGAAGCTGAGCGGCAACCAGCTGACCATGGACTACTTGGAGGAGAACGGCTTCAACGAACCCATCATGGTTCAGAAGAAGGATGGCCTGGGCCTGTCCATGCCCGCCCCCACCTTCTACATCAGTGACGTGGAGAACTACGTTGGTAGGAAGCTGAACTAAACCCTGAAACATGTTAACACCAGCAGCTGATAGTTGCTGTAGTGGAGTAGGCTAACTGTCCAGCTAGCAGCCTCTCCTGGGAGTTCCTGGACCACCCTGTCCCTTCTGCTCCAGTCTTATTAGACCTGGACGTCCATGATTGTCCAGGATGGCCTGCTGTGTCATCCTCTGTCCCTTTAACTGGGAGAACTGGGATGGGAGCCTTCAGGAGAAACATGACGTAAGCTAGCTTTAGGTCAGGAGGGTTTTTAGGAACATTGGTGTTTCTGTCCAGGAGCCAGAGGAGGTGGATCAGAACATCATGTTTCAGTTCCAGGGCGAAACAGAGGCAGGTAAGGAGGAGGACATCCCCACCTTTCCAGGGTCAGAAAACCACACGTCTGCTCCTGGGGAGGCAGCGGCTCCTGGGGGCCCAGCACCTGTTACAATGTCCTGAATAAATCAGAGACTATTGGTTCCCTGTTAGAAAGCTCTGAGGCAGCAGCAGGTGCAGAAGCCGATCAGTCCTCCAGCAGGGGGAGCTAGCGCTCTGTCAGTGGGGGGCAGGAGATGTTCTGTAAGATGTTCTCACGCTGTCCTCTCCTGTCCTCTCAGGTCCAGACGTCACCGTCGACGTGGTGGACGTCACCAAGCAGACCGACAGCCAGATGAAGCTCAAAGAGTTTGTGGATTATTACTACAGCACCAACAGGAAGAAGGTTCTGAACGTGATCAACCTGGAGTTCTCCGACACCAGGTGCGGCGGCTGAGTGGCGGGACGCCTGAAGGCAGCGTCCTGCAGCAGACCTGACCACCGTGTCTCTCTGTGTTCTCCAGGATGAGCTCCATCGTAGAGAGTCCTCAGATAGTGCGGCGCCTGTCCTGGGTGGAGAACTACTGGCCCGACGACGCCCTGCTGGGGAAACCCAAAGTCACCAAATACTGTCTGATCTGCGTGAAGGACAGCTACACGGACTTCCACATCGAGTGCGGCGGCGCCTCCGTGTGGTACCACGTCCTGAAGGTCAGTGGCTTCATTGGCACGCCGGCGTTCAGCCATTCTCATGCCGCTGAACATCTGCTCCTGTCTGCAGGGAGAGAAGATCTTCTTCCTCATCAAGCCCACCTCTGCCAACCTGTCCCTGTATGAGCGCTGGAGGTCATCGTCCAACCACAGCGGCATGTTCTTCGCCGACCAGGTGGACAAGTGCTACAAATGCACCCTGAAGCAAGGCCAGACGCTGTTCGTCCCGTCAGGTCAGACTCAGGAAGGTGTCTGTGTCAGAAACAGGACGGCTTTTGTTTGATTGGTCGTTCTGTCTGAGTCTGATGATGATGATGATGTTTCTCTTTGGATCAGGATGGATCAACGCCGTGCTGACCCCGGTCGACTGCCTGGCTTTCTGTGGACACTTTGTCCACAACCTGAGTGTGGAGATGCAGATGAGGTCAGTGGTTTTAAAGAAGCATTGGCCCCTTTGAGGCAACCCAGCCCAGTTAGCGAGCACTAGCATGGTTCTGAATGAGCTAGCTAACCCCGGTTAACGAGCACTAGCATGGTTCTGAATGAGCTAGCTAACCCCGGTTAACGAGCACTAGCATGGTTCTGAATGAGCTAGC